AGATTGGGGATCTTTCATTTTCCCTTTGATCATCCACCCAAAACCCGTGCTTCATGCACTTTATTATATTTTCTATTTCTTAATGAATATCCCTTTAATATTCATGTTTGTCAAATGAAATGTCGAGCAAACAAAATACAATAAATTTATATTAACTAAATTTTGGATCCGGATATATTGTAATGGAAATTATATTAAGAGGATCATTCTCGCTATGAATAGATATGATACATGATTTAAATTAACTGATTAATAAAATAAATATGAATGATTTTATTAATAAAAAATGGTCAAACTTTTTGTTCTTATCACGTTTACCACATCTTTTCAAAACTGTTGTCTATTTTGAATATTTTATGTAACTTTAAATAAAAATTACAAATGGCCACCTTTGATGGATGGGGAGGGTGGGAAAAAAGCTGCGTGTAGCTTGGATCATGCATTCCACTTTCTCTTGTCCGCCTTCCAAATTCATCACAATGGGATTAACTTTTTAAAACCCTACATTTAAAAAATGGATCTGAATCCAATAAGCTAAAAGTAGTACATCCACAACTAGGGATGACAAACGGGCGGGTCGGGTGCGGATACCTTTCCCCCATCCCCATACTCATCTAATATTTTTCAATCCACCACCCGCCCACCACCCATGATGGGTAAAATTTTTTAAATCTACACCCGCCCACGCGAGTACATTCTCAAATATATCCCCACTACCCTACTAGAGATGTACCCAGCTAGACCCGTCTAACAGTTAGGGGTGTGCAAAAAAATTCAATCTGACCAATCCGATCCATTGACCCGTTGATCCGATCCCAAAATTCGGATATCCGATCCGTTTTTCAATTTTTGGATAGTTCGGATCGGGTATATGATTTTTCCCGAATTATCGGATCGGATACGGATCGATAAAAAACCATGTTCGGATTATTCGAAAACCTGAAAAAAAAAATTGGACTATATTCGAAGACCAGAGGAGGTTTTCGAATAAGGCGTGGGCACGACTTATTCATCCTGAGCTATCGCAGAAGAAGTCTGCAGTTAAGGCGTAGACACGCTTTACCAGTCCGTACAACCCTAAATTAAAACTTGTTGTATACGACACCATCATCTATGAACTTCAAAACCTCCGTTGTTTTTGTGGATTTCATCTCTCCCACCTCTCCGTTTATAGACCACCAACCACACTACCATATTAAGCTAAACCATCTACTAGTAGTCATTATCTGTCCTAATCATCTTCCTATATATGCTCAAAACTTCAACAAACCATCAACAATAAGAATTACAAATGTTGGATAGACACCTAAACAAATCCATTCTTTGAGTTGTAAAATTATTATTGACACAACTTTCTCTGAATTATTTAATCAGTTGTGAAAATATTATTGACACAACTTTCTCTGAGTTATTTAATCATTCTCTTTGTTTGTTGTTGCACATGTTTCTAATTGTAATAAAGTTTCACCTACCCAAAATTAAAACATGATTTCATCTATTTCCCCACACCAGCAAATGATACAGGATGCGTAAAATATAACCCGATGTTTGGATCTTTACCTTTGCATTATCCTAATCCAAAAAAAGAAGATCAAATCTAAGTTGTATTGGTTTTGGGCTTTTTTTCCAAGATGTTTTTGTTTTTCAATGCATGATTATACAAATTATAATGTATAAATTATTCATAATTTTCAAAATCAGCCGAATGTGTGAATGCACTTAAATTCAGAAGAACACCAAAATCGATAATTCAATATACGTACATATAACGTGTTTCTTAAAAATCAAAATCAATATACGAATGCTCTTTAGATTCAACAGAATATCAAAATCAAAATAACAGAGTATTGACTATTGTCCTTGTATCTTGAACAAAACTAAGAGGATTAGATCTGAAAACTGTAGTATTCACCTTACGACAAATTAAAACGGCCACAAACAACTTCGATGCAGCAAACAAGATTGGGGAAGGTGGTTTTGGATCTGTGTATAAGGTGACATACAACTCAACTACCCGTAGAGGAGACCAGAGTAAAGAAGAGGAAGAAGGCGTACCTGAATGAGCTGGAGACCAGAGTTTGAAACTTAGAGAAAAAGAACTACCAGAATATCGGCATAGTAACCAACAAACAAAGTACGAGAGGTTTGAAATAAAAACATTGGTTCATAAACTTATCCCTAATATTTTGTTAAATTATAAGTTATATCTTATACAAGATTAAGATTTATAAATTAGTCTATAAAATTATACATAAATTCATAATGGTTCAAAATTTAATGGATATTTAGTGGGCGGGTTGATGTGGGGCGGATGCGGGGCGTGTAAGGTCTCAAACTCATCACTTGCCTACTATCCGCGACGGATACCACTTTCTAAATCCACACCCGCCTACTACCCACTAAAGTTATACCCATCCCGCCTCAATTAGAGCGGGTACGGTACGAAATCCACGAAATTGTACCCGTTTGCCATTCCTATCCTCAACACATGGGATTTTTGTTATCTCGATTTCCAGTTTCCCCACTTGTGGACTTCCTTAGGTATTAGCTTCCATTGCTCTAATTATTTAATTCATTAATCAAATCCCTTCACAACATCTGTCTAGATGGAATCTACAACATTATTTCCATCTTTCTCTCTTTTATCAAATCGTAATTTCCATGTAATTGAATTTGATTCGAGTACATAGTGTTTACACTGCCATACAGGAATAATTTATATAAATTAAAGCAGCTTAGGTACATATATGCCCAAATTGCAATACCAATTGTAGAATTCATTTTGTGGTGGCTGTATTGGATATTTAAATATGTTATATGTTTAATATTATGATCAAAATTGGATTTGAGAATCGGGTATGTGCGGGGAAAGTTCGAACACCCACATCACTCCCAAAGCTTGATACTTTAAAAATATTTATGTTGTCTAAAATGAAAATGACCATAATAACGATGTTAATAAAAATAAATAAATAAATAATTCCTGAAAATTGGGGCTTCTTTCAAATAGTTCTTGAAATATTTTAGAATACCACAATTAGGCAATGCTTTTCTGCTTTGATAAAATCGTGGCCACTATATTTTAAATTAATCTTAATTTAGTACTAATTGTTAGTTTGATAAACTATAAACTTTAGATTTGTAATTGTTCAATTTAATCCTAATTTGATATTCTAATAAAGTTTTTACCACCAATGACTGATTATTTATATTTCAATCCATGAACATATTTTTTCAGGTTAAATTATTTTATATATTTTTCTTATCTTATATCGAATTTAATAAACATCATTATTGAGATTATTACTAACACTTGTTTTGTAGCCAACCATTTTTCCTTAAAACGGGATAACATTTTATTTTTCTTATAAAGATATTAATTTTGGACATGGTGAAGATACTCTAATGTTTCCCATGTGTAATCTAACTCTTCAATCTTCAAAATTACCTTTTTATGGCACAGTATGGTTGTTCTAACGTAAGCTTCCAAATTATTATTTTCAAAGAGAATTGTTAAGAGAAAATGAATAATACTGAGTGCTTTTATTATCATGCCAGAATATTTACAGTCAATCAATAATATATATACAAAAGATCTAACTGTTCAACTAACAGACTAACAACATATTTATAACCGTCTAACTAATTCTTATTTTATATTTAACACTCCCTCAAGTTGGTGGATTAAAAACATTTTTAATCCCCAACTTGGAAACTAAGAAATTATGTTGTGTACTCAGTGGCTTAGTCTAGGGCTGTAAATGAAACGAGACAGATCGCGAGCTACTCGAGACCGACTCGATCAAGGCTCGATAAATACTCGAATTGAATGGACTCGACTCGAGTTCTTAACGAGCCGAAACGAACTACTCGATATTCGACTCGAAAAGCTCGTAAGCAGCTCGAAAAAATATTATATTATAATTTTAGATTTTTTAAAATTACATTATTAAAAATAAATTAAAAATACACTATTGATAATTATAAAATTTTAAAAATATATTAAAAATTCTATTATACAACTACCCTCAAAAAATATTTTTGAATAAATATTCTTATATTTATTTTAAATTAATAAAAAATTATTTATCTAATGACAAATATTTAATATATTTCTAATGATAATATTTTTAATAACTAATTTTTAAATTGTTGTTATATTTTGAGGTTTCGGATTCAAATATCATAAATATCAAAGGTTTGAGTATTTAATATCAAGTCACTATATTGTACTTACCTCATAAATTGGTACCAAGTCGATTAATTAATATCTTTGTAATAAACCCTAAACCCTAACACATATACCCATTTATGTGTCTACTCACATAAAAGCTTGTATTGTTAATATATGTCCATCGTTAGAAAAAAATTATATTAATTGAGTCTAACAATATATTAATTGAGATTGGAATATAAGTGTTGGCCTTGGCAGTTGTCCATGTCCCCCTCGTATCTACCATTACTCGTTATTCTACAAACATGGAGCGTGGAGTGGAGACCCAAGCTAGGAGGCACTTCCAGGGGATTTTCTTCCATTCGTAGAACTTGAAGGCGTGTTAGCATCTTAAAAGAATCTGGGAGGACCCAAATCTGATTATTACTAATGTCCAGCTCCTCAAGCATCTCAAGGTTCCCAATAGACCTTGGTAGGGATCGGAGATCATCAAAATTGTTGCCTATGTTCATCTTCACGAGTGTGGTGGCAAAACATAAACTCTCAGGCAAAGACTCCAGCTCGTTGAAACTGACATCTAGCTCCTTCAAGTTTGTCAAAAATGTCATCGTTGTTGGCAATTGTTTGATGTTATTATAGCGCACGGACAAAACCTCCAACATTTCTATCTTCCCAACTGCTTTAGGAAGGGCTTTGAGCGGCTATAATCTACACGAAGCTCTTTAAGTGAAGCTACTATAGCCTGAAGCAATATCCCACATTGGGGAAGTATATGAGTGGACCACTTATTTGGCATTATAAATAAAAGGCAGCTACCTCCTTTCAACATCTTACCTGAACGAGGCCAATGGACGATCATCAAGGTTCATGGCCTAGGTAAGCGACCTCCATTGCACTTTGGAGGGGTGCTCGCCTAAGGTTTCTCCAGTCCCCATTGTAGGAGAGCCTACGTCATAATTTGTGGTAGTGGGTGAGTTCGATCTCGAACCGAGCTTCAATTGAGATTGAATCTCGAGCTTCAATCGATCTCTTGAATTTTTTTTTGAGTTCGAGCCTTTTCGAGTTCGAGTCAAGTTTCAATATTCATTTTTTAATTCGAACTGAGATTGATAATTTTGAGCTCGCGAGTTTTTGAGTCAAGTCGAGCCTATGTTTAAAGTTTTCGAGTTCGAGTCGAGCTCAGCAATACTTGAGCTCGACTCGGCTCGTTTACACCCCTAGCTTAGTCATGATATCTTCTAGTTGATCCTTTGAAGGAACAAACTCTTTTTATACAAGGCCTTCTTTAATTTTCTCTTTCACAAAATTACAGTTAATTTCTTTGAAGGGCTGCTTTGTTATTACAAAACATCTCCATAGGTTTCAATTTCTTCAAACCCAAATTTCCAAGAAGGCCTTTAATCCAAACTAACTCAGTTATTGTCAACGTCATGCTCCTATACTCTGCTTCAACAGTCGACCTTGCTATTGTGTTTTGTTTCTTTGATTTTCATGAAATTAAGGACTCACCAATCTTGATGCAAAAACTAGTAACCAACCTCTTTGACATTGGGCATAATGCCCAATCAGCATCACAAAACACTTGCACCTAAAAATTAGGTGATGCTGGCAGTAACAAACCTTGACCAGGATCCTTTTTAATATATCTTACTATTCGTAATGATGCCTTCATATGAGATTTTTTGGGTTGATGCATGAACTGACTTAGATGGTGCACGACATAAGTAACATCAGGTCTTGTATGTGTAAGATAAATTAACCTTCCAATTAATCTTTGAAAAATTGATTTATTTTCAAGTAATTCATCATCATTTCTCTACTGCAAACTGTAATCAAAATTAACAGTGGTTAATTTCATATTTTGTTCTAATGGTGTTGAGGCCGGTTTAGTTCATTCCAATCCTTCATCATTGATAAGTTCTATGACGTACTTGTGCTGATTAAGAATAATGCCCTTTTTTGATCTGAACACTTCTATTCCAAGAAAATACCTTAACTCTCCTTTCATTTTAAAACTTTGATGCAAGCTTGCCTTTAACTCATCAATCATCTCCGCATTGTTTCATGTAACAAGTAGATCATCCATACAAACTAACAAAATAAATGTATCTTCCCCTTGCTTTTTGATAAACAAAGAATAATCATATTTGCTTTGTGTCAACCCTGCAAAAAAAAACTAATATTTCTGTCAGCCTCACATTCTATTATCTTGAGGCACGTTTCAAACCATATAAGGACTTTTGTAGCCGACAAACCTTCTCCCCTAACTATAAAAACCCTCTGAAAGTTGCATATAAACCTCATCATCCAGATTGCCTTAAAGAAAGGCATTATAAACATCTATTTGTCAAACATGCCAGTAAAAAATGGAAGCAAGTCCAAGACTGAATGAACTGTAACCATCTTCATAACAGGAGAAAAATTATCCCCATAATCAATCCTCTTGCATTGATTCTAGCCCTTGGCAACAAGGTAGGCTTTGTACTATTTTATTTCTCCCGAAGCTTTATACTTAATTTGATAAACCTATTTTCAACCAATGGGAATCTTGTTATATGGTAAAGAAACTAATGACAAAGTATTATTAGATTACAAAGCTTGAAGCTCCTCTTCCATGGGCTTAACCCAAAGATTATTTTTTATAGTCTCAGAATAAAATTGAGGTTCAAAATCAATGGAAATAGTAAAAATAAAGGACTGAGTATGAGAAGGTAAATGATTATAGGAAACAAAAGACTAATTCGAAGAAGATTGGTAATTACAAACAAAGTATTTTAACCAGCCTGGAGGCTTTGAAACCCGAGAAGACTTACAAGAAATGACTTCTAATAAAGGATGTGAAACCTCATGAATATTTGTTGAAGCATGATCAAGAAATAGAGGCACTGAATTATGTGAAGAAGAAACATCATTTGGTGAATTATTAACTGTAGAACGTGAAGGAGGAACAAGATGGGGGAACTATTGTCTTGTGATGAATGTAATAAACAAGATTCACAATTAGAGGAATTAAGAAGAAGAAAGTCTTAATCAAGCACAGTAGGTTGAGCAGGGGGAAAACTGAAGAAGACTGTGAAGAAAACTTGAAAGGAAATACACCTTCATGGAAACAAACATCACGGTTAACAAAAAAAGTTTTAGTTTGAAGATTGAACAAACGATAACTCTTTTGAGTAGCAAAATAACAAAAAAAAAAAAAAACAGAGGGAACAACACATGTAGAAAATTTATCAGAATTTTTGGGTGTAGTTGTATAACATAAACAATCAAATACAAGAATGTGAGAAAAATTAGGAGGCTTATGGTATAAGGCTTCAAAGGGTGATAGCCAATTAAGGACTGAAGAAGGAAGTCTATTAATTATATAGCAGGCAATAAGGACACATTCTCCCCAAAACTTGAGAGGGAATGTAACACGCCTGACCCGTACCCGACCCGTACCCGAATACGAATTCGAGGTGTCACATTTAACTTTTCAAAACATATGAAATACACAATTCAGAACAAAATTAAAATGTTTTAATCAAAATAAAAAGATATAAATTTCTTTAATAAAATCATTATTTCACATACATTTTTACATACAATCTTAATAATTTACATAAATATCAAAATATATGAGTTTACAAAATAGATCAAAGCATTTCCAAATTTAACGTTTAATACATGCCAACAGTTTACAAAATTAACACAAAAACCTACATTTAACTTGTCATATTCTGATCTTCAAGTAATATGCTATCCTCGATAACTCAGTCTTCAGCTCTCTTCAAACCTACGCGTGAGAAAAATCAAACGCTAAGTCGATGACTTAGTGAGGCAAATATTAAGAGTGCTAACTTAATAAATAAAATCTTATTTGTTTTATTCAAAATGTTTTACAAAGAGCTTCCATTATGTTTCATATCAAAGTATACTTATGAATAGTTTCCATTTGTATATTTTTGTTCCAAATGCCCAAGGTATACTATTGAGAACTCTAGGTATTTGAGTACTATGAGGTTGTGCACTAATGTTGTCACCACAACTCGTAATTTGCACCTAAGTGCCACATAATTATCCCGAATGACAACATAGGTTTGCACTGAAGTGCCACATATTTGTCCCGAAGGACCACATAAGACCCTCGACTCTTGGCATGTGATAGGGAAGCGGTGGCGGACTGATGAACGTTGCTCTTGTTGAAGAATCAAACCTAGAAAAGCTCTAGACTCGATGAAGAACAATAAGGAATGAATGAGGAAGGTGGCGGCAATAGCTAGGATTCTTTAGGGTTTCTTTTAGTGCTAGAAACAAGAAAAGAAACAAGATTAAAATAAGATAAACAAAAGATAAAAGAATTAAGAATAGAGAAAATAACCAAGAAATCAAAGGTCTCCCTTATGAAAGTGAACGGTAAAGATGATTGATGACGTGGATGGATGTGGAAAATCGATGGATAATGTCCTATCGAGCCCTCCTAGTCGCAATGAAAAGGCAAACACGATAATATGGCTCTAACCAACCCTCCTAGTCGCGATGAAAAGGCAAATTGGAGTGTGAAGATTAATCTCCCTCACAAGAACTTGAAAGAACTCCAGGAGAAGAAGCTTCGAAGGCACAAGGCAATCAGCACTTGCAAAAACAAACTCTTGTTGTATTATTGATCAAAGAAATCTTGAATTACAAAGTTTAATGAAGCCTCCTTTATATAGGGGTTGAGTTCTAAAGGTCCTAAATAACTAATGAATAAAATAATAATAAACTAAACATATATTAACTCTAATTCCTAATAAAATAATAATAACTAAAGATAATATTTTTAACCCAATCTTAATTCCTAATAAAATAATAAATCTAATCCTAAAAGATAATGCATCATCCTATATTAAGTTATATTACAAATAATCAATAAAATATTGAAAATTCGTAATATTTACAAAATCCCGTATTAATTTTCTGCATGCAACATCTTCAGTAAAATAGCCATATCTTGAGTTCCCGATATCGGATTGATGCGATTCAAGAACCGTTGGAAAGATAAGAGAAAGAAGGTTGTATCTCCAGAAGACATCTTGACTAAATAAGATCAGGATCCCATTCAAAAAGTCTTCGTAAGTCTGCTTCTATTCTGATCTTCTTTTCCAATGCTTGGACGAGTGGATCATTTGGAAGAGTTATTACTTCTTCCTTTGATGTGAGCCTTGTGATGCATGTATCATCCTCCCTTTCTTCAAAAAGATTCGACCTAGAATCTGAAACATTAAAGGGAGCAACATTAGAATCATTTAATGATTCATTCACATTATACTTACCGAATAGATATGCTTTGAATCTTCGAGACTTTGTTCTTCTAATAGATTCGAGTAGAAACATTAGTCCAAAGAAGCATCTATTATGACTCTGGTGCATGTATCATTCCCCCACTCCTCAAAAGGATTCGTCCTCGAATCTGAAAATCCAAGAGAAAGAGAATTATATTTGTTGGAAGAAAAACTTGTGAAACATTTACCAGGATCAATGTGATGTGTCTTTATGCGTTTTAGTCGAGGTTTCTTCTTTGTAGGAACTGATTTATTGTAGTCTTGAAATCCTCTTTTGCATACAAGTCTTGTAATCTGATGTTTAGGTTGAAATTCAACATGGTGCCGACCACTGTTGGTTTTCTGTATGATTGCTTCAGATAATTTCTCCATGGTTTTATTCGTGTGTGGCGAGAATGAGTGATTAAAAACCATATCAACTGGTTTGTTAAAGTAATCCCTTAAGTCTCTTAAGTGTGGTTCATGAATTAAAAATTCTCTGGAGGAGATTTTTGGACTGTAGAACCTGTTTAGTTGGCAAGGAAACTCATATACACGATAAAACTCATTAGAAGCACTTTTAAAAGTATGGGTAGAAATATCAAAAATATCAGAAATATCCGAGTTATTATGATATAGATCTTTGATATGTTCAATTCTCGGAATATTATTATGTGTTTGATAGGTAAGAGTATACCTTCGTGGTAGTGCATC